AATGTTCTTATCCTTTTTGTTGGTTGGGATTTCTTTTGCTTACCTTTTGCCTTTTTTTCTCCCCTGCACTCTGCCCAAGTAATTACTCATATTTTTGCCAAAAGATGTCCTTTGAGATCTTCTACGAAGATCATTTTAAGGTTGTTTCTGTGATGTTATATTTGTTTCATTGTATGCTTCATTTTATTTTATTATTTTTTTCTATATTTTACTTTAATGTAAGGTAAAGGTTTATTTAAGGTAAATTACCCAGGCCTCATGCTCTGGAGGGGACACTCTAGGGGGCAGTGTTCATCTCCGTTACAAAGCCAAAGAGCCAGCGCTGTCCGAAGATGTTTCTGTGGTCATGTGGCCAGCATGAATAAACACCGAAGGTGCATGGAACGCTGTTACCTTCCCACCAAAGTGATCCCTATTTTTCTACTTGCATTTTTTACGTGCTTTCAAACTGCAAGGTTGGCAGCAGCTGGGACAAGTAACGGGAGCTCACTCCATTACACGATGCTTGGGATTTGAACCACCGACCTGCCGACCTTTCTGATCGACAAGCTCAGCTTCTTAGCCACTGAACCACCTCATCCCCTTTTACTTTAGTGTAGTATAGAGTAATTTAATGTGATTTAATGAGATTTCAGCTACCTAGAACCTCGAGAAAACAGGCCATTCTGTACAGGAACGATGAAGTGATCTTGGAGATCTGCAGAGACCATTTGATTCTTTTTGATATAAGAGGAAAGATGGGGGTGGGGGGGAAAGCTCTCTGGCTTTTAGGGCTTCTTCTTCTATTTCTTCCCTGATGCTAATAACAGAAAGACATGGAAAGAAGAGGAAGAGAACATTCAAATTAGCAGTTTTGTCCCTAAATGGTGAGTCATCTAAAGGGAAGTGGTAGCAATATTGCTACATAGAAAGATAAAACGAAGCCAAGAATCAAAATAGATTAATTTGTCAAGCTTTCAATATTTTCTTATTATAGCTATTATTACTACATTTCCAGTATTAGCTGCCTGTATCTGTTTCCTGACCTGCCCTATCTCAAAAGTCTGACACCTATTCATGGTTTTGTCAATAACCAATCATAAATGAAGCAAAACAAATCTCCAACCAATACTACAAGGATGTAATAATATACTAAATTTTATCACTGAGATAGTTCTGCTTAAGATTCCCTCACAGAAATATTAAAAGCACTTACTGCGCTGGTCAATTTCTTCTAAGGGTCATCGGCCATGACTGTTGCTTGGCTGTCTTCTTCCCAATTTGACAACAATGTCATCATCCAGTATATCAGTCTACAATAATCTGCGCCATTATATGATCTATCCTATTACAGTCTAATTTTGGTTACAGGCAGTGGTGGTATTCAGCAGGTTCTGACCAGTTCTAGAGAACCGGTAGCAGAAATTTTGAGTAGTTTGGAGGAATGGCAAATACCGCCTCTAACTGCCCCCACCCCCATCTATTCTCTGCCTAGTGAGTCCCAGCTGATCGGCTGGGTCTTCTTTGGTTGCCCTGCACAGGAGAACGGAGCTGGAAAGCAGGTTAGTGGGGTGGGGAGGGAATGGAGATTGTGCAGTAACCTTCCCCCAGGAGTGCGGAGGAAATAGAGATTTTACAGTATCCTTCCCTTGCCATGCCCACCAAGCCACACCCACCAAGCCACACTCACAGAACCAATAGTAAAAAAAAAAATGAATCCCACCACGGGTTACAGGTCTTCTAAAGATTCTCCACTACTTCCTTATTCTCATATTTACTTCAGTTTGTAAATATCAGGGTGGTCTCCAGCCTGGCCCTCTTCATTAAAGGCTATCTTAAATCAGGAAGGAAGTGTTAAGGAAAACTTCTCATAGCCATCTTGCTTGCCTTGTTTTTCTTCCTCATCTTTTCTTTTCCACCAACTGCCATTTATATCAACGATGTTATTTCCAATAGGAAATTTTTCAGTTTCATTACATATGGCTACTGTCTGTGTTAACTCATTGGTCTATTTTCTACTGAGGAGAAAGAAGGAACATCATTCTGACAGCAAACCAATTGTGGGAAGCCTTCCCCACTCCCCAGAATGAAATATTCTATAAAATATTAGGGGAGGCAGAATAGAATATTTCCCCTAAAGGAGAAGAGGACAAAAGTCTCCTGAACAAAGGCAGAAATAAGCCTCCAGTGTTTCTACCATAGGAAGACAACCACAAGCAGAGGCCTGAAGAGGCTAGGCTTTATGAATGGATATCACATATTAAAGAAAGAAAGAAAAATCTTTTTTCAGTGAACAGCATGATTCCAGGTTAACACATTTCCATTACAAACTTGACTTACATTTCATATTCATATTTCACATTTGATAACTTATCTTATCTTAAACTTACTTTATATATTTTCTTTAATTTTAATCTACAAGCTTTTTCCATCTTATTTTGTAATTTTACCAACACATTGCTTGATCTATTTCTTTAAATCCTTAATACATCATTATATATCTTCATATTCATTATATTTTATCTTCTTATTGTGTCAGGTCTGCAATTTACTCATCTATTAATTCATCATTCCAGCAATTCACACATTTATGTTATTATTATTATTAACATAATCATAATCATAAATAACAACAATACAACATCCCTATTTGCCAATTCCAAGGTGCCATCCCTGTGGTTAAACATATCATGTAATTAATCCCCTCCCTAAAATTCCCATAATTTAACTTTGAGTTAACACTTTAAAAAAGAAAAAGACACAATGATAGTTTTCTAGTAATTACTACATTACGTATATCTCTTTTAAATCTGGGTCTGCGTTCCCTTTCTCATTACCTTAAGAATATATCTAGATTAATAAAATTATAGCTAAAACAAACATAATTAATCCCATAATTTCATAAGAACTAATATTGTTTTCCCTCTGACATTACTCCTGCTCTGTTTGCCACAGCTTATTAATTCACTTAGTATTATTAATATCTTTATTCTGATTACCTCTGTTCATTTCATAATATAAAGGGAGAAGAGGAAAAGTCACTGCAATAGCAAAACAATATCAATCCCTATCTCCCATTTTAATACTTTATATTCCACTGTTTATCATTTATTTTATTGCTTATTAATTCATTTAATATTATTAATATCTTTGTTTTAGTTCTCTCTTAATGTCATCTCATAAATAGAAAAAAGCAATCACAGCAATAACAAAACAATATCAGTCCCCTTTTAATAATCTATATTTCACTATTTTCTAAACAATCTTATCATTTCTTATTTGTATAAACTAATCCTTATACTCTTGCAGAATCCCCTTCTTTATACTTTTCAATCAGCCATTATCTCTGTGTTTTTTAATTAGACTATTTCATTTCATTGTTATGTGCTTGCCATATTCCTTTCTTTCCAAATCCCATTTCATTCTTGCCCTTTATCACTCCAATTTCTATCCCCCTTCTTTTCCATTACTGCCGCCTGAAGTTTCCTTTCCCACTGTTTCCTTTTCTTTTGTTCGGTTTTTAGAATAAACCCCCTTTTTAATTACATTGTTGAACCTCCTATTATTAATTCTCTTTCTATTCCTCCTTTGCTTAAATTTCTGTTGATTTAAGTGTTCATTTAAGATGGCCACTTCTTGTGTTGATTTATCTTCTTCTTGTTGTTCTTGGTATTTTGAAACCTCCATTTCCAAAAATTACAATGCAAAACCAAATGATTTGCCCTCTTTTTGTAGCATGTCTTTCATGTTTCTAAATTCCAGTTTCAGGTCCAATAACATTCCTGCCATCTTTAGACAATGTGTCAGGGTTGTATGTTTAATTATTTCAAAAACAAGTTTCTTCTTCCAGCTTCTTCCTTTTAAGTACAAAGCCACTTCATCTGTCAGAATTTTCCTTTCTTAATTTCTTTGTCCACCATTTAAATCCAATTTCTTAACGATTTTAAAAGATTTCAAAACTGGGGTGCCTTAAGTCAGAATTCTCCTGGTTTCTATGCTGTCCTCTTTTTCACCACTCCTCCTGCGCAATCTTATTCCAGCAGTCTCTTCCCCTTCAGGGTGACCATTTTAGACCACTGCTTCAGATGTCTTCGGGAGGGAGTGTTTGCCAAGCCAGGGAGGGGATATGTGGCTCCCCTCTACCCAGCTGGCGGTCTCCCCTTCCTCCACCGCCCCTATGAGGCGGCTTCTGCCCCAAATCTGGACAATTGGGGCTCTCCGACGAAGAAGCACGGACCAAAGCCATGGACAATCGCGGCAATGGTTTGTCTTCGGGGAAGTTCAACCGGAAGTTCCAGGCCACTCTATTCATAAATAAAGAGCAGCAGGCAGTTCTGAATAAGCAGCACAATAGGCAATGAGCCAAGATTAACAAGATTAGTTCAGACAAAGAAAACACCCAGGATTTGCATTTTTCCTTATGCCTGTAGAGCCAGTCATGACCCCTACATGACCCCATAGAAATCTGGCAACAGCCATTGAAATATTAAAGGACATAAACAGGCATCTCAATCACAAAGCCCCCCAAATTGTATAAAAGTCCATCTACTCTCAACCCCAATTTGTCAGCCATCCCAGAAACATGCTGCTGTCACTGTTGTTGACTCAGCCTTCCATTCTTCTGAGGTGGGTAAAATGAGGATCTAAATTGTTGGGGGCAATATGCTGTAAACCACTTAGAGAGGACTGTTAAGCACTGTGAACTGGTATCTAAGTCTAAGTGCTTTTGCTATTGTTTCTGGCTACTAAATAAATGGAGACCTCCTTTCCAACTGCAGCCTGCCTTCAGTTCATTTCTCCTGCATCGTTCTCCTGGCTTGGAATAAGAACTGGACTAGATTTTACTTCCAACACAACAATGATTTTAAATTTCCCAAGAACACAATTCTTTCAGCCATTTTGACAATCAGGAGTACACACAAATTTACTTTCTTTTATTAATTTTATTTCCCCTTAAATTGCAGTGTCCTGGGTTGTCCAACTTAACCAATGAATCGAACCTTCTAAGCAAACAAACAACAATGGACGATGGATACAAAATTGGTGAAGAATTTTATAACACAGGAGGTATGAAAAGCATGAAATCTATGTTACATACAATGTTTTTACCTTTGGGGATACAACTGATAATGAGAACCACACAGGATTAATAATTCCAAAATTGAAACTCTAGCACCAAATCATGAGACCCATCAACTCCTGAGGTTAGGAGCTGTGTTGGCATTTTGAAGACATCCCGTGGCTGCATTCACAAAATAGTTCCTGAGGGAATTTTTCATAAAACAGCTTTCCTGGCAAGAAATATCTGCTAGCACAGCAATATCTGCCATTTCCTCTAGGAAACATCATCCCAGAATTGTCCTTTGGAGGGACATAAGAGATGAAATCAATCTCCATGTACTTTAAGAAAACTTTAAGAGGGGAAAATGTGACTGGAGGCCCAGATGCATTTCTGAAAATAAAGGAAAAGCTAGACTGGGAAAAAATTTTCTTTTTCAAAATGAGCATCTTTGAGTTGATTATCAGGTTAAATAATTCTGGGGCAGCTTAGAGAGCAACACAGGGACCGAGTCTTGGCTAATGACTATCTGAGCAACCACAGGGGGGAAAAATCCATTGGAGATTATTTGATTTATGCATACAGAGATTCCCATTCAGAAAGACACAAATCTGTGTGGAGGAATTTTCTAAAATGTATTAGCATTTTTGCTGCCTGACAATCTTCATTTATGTTAATTTCCTCTTTAGATTATGGTCATAAACCTCCTTACTTCCCGAACATTTGTCTTGATTCCTTTTGGCCTGAATACTCTAATGGGTAAGAATATTATGATACAATACATTTTATTTGTTCCTAAATGGTGAGTCATCTAAAGGGAAGTGGTCGCAATATTGCTACATGGAAAGATAAAGCCAAGTCAAGAATCAAAATAGATTAATTTGTCAGGCTTTCAATACTTCCTGCAAAATGTTCATCTATTTCTTCAGCTTGGTTAGATGGCCTATAGCAGAGGTCGGCAACCTCAAACACTGAAAGAGCCGCCAAGGTCCTAACTGGAAGCCCCCCATTCAATTCTGGAGTAGACTGGAAGTCCAGTTCCCCCACCATAGAGTCTCCTCCTAGCATGGCATCCTTTTTCCTCTGCCAACTGGAAGTCTGGTTCCCCCACCATAGAGTTTCCTACTCGCATGGCATCCTTTTTCCTCTATCTGTCCTAACTGAAAGCCCTATCAATTGTGGAACTGACTGGCAACAGAGAGCTGCAGCAGAGGTATGAAAGAGCCACATGAAGTGGGAGGGCGGGGCTGACATCATGGCAGTAGAATGAAAATCTTTATGGGCTCCTAGGGAGGACCTTGATATCCTGAAAGCCAGTGGTCCCTTGGACCTAAATCATCTTGGAAAATGACGATCGAGGAGAGGACATTCTGCTGATCCCAAGGATACCACAATATCCCTGTTAGATCGAGAGATAGCCTCTCCAGCTGACTTGAAAGGAAAGCAGTCATTGCAAACCACTACAAGGCTGGGGCAGATGGCCGTCACTCTGGTGGAAAAAGAGAAATTGAAAGCATAGTCGACTTGGGTGAAAATTTTCTATTTACTGATTAACTAAAGAAAAGAGCCCCTGGAAAAGAAAGGGGTGAAAAGAAAGCCAACTTTTAAAAGGGTGGGTGGTAATAAATCCCCCCCCAAACAAAGTGGTGAGCAGAGCAGTTGATGGCACTAAATAGCAGAGGAAACCATTAATCACGGAGTTAAAATGAAAGACCCACATGCGGCTCCAGAGCCACGGGTTGCCGACCCCTGGCTTATCGTATACAACTATGGAATATTCTTTTTTCCTTTTATATTGACCCATATGGATACTCACAAGACTGAAAAAAATATTGATGTAAATTAAAAAACCTGTGTGTGTTTGTGTGTGCATACGTGCGTGTGTGGATCCGTATGTGCATGCATGTATATACATTTCTGCTAGAAGGACTGATTCTCTTTTGGTCTCGTTTTGTTATCAGGATAAATGATCCCATACTTCTCAACACTCCTTTCAATACAACTGAAATTGCTTCCAATAGTACCAGAATACCAGAAATTTATCTTTATCCATATGAGCAACTGTCCAATAATTTAACACGTATTCTTTTCGATGGCTTCATTGTCCTTATTTGTATTTTGGGCCTGGTGGGAAATGGAAGGACAATTTATCTCCTGGCCTTTTCCATGAAGAGGAATCCTTTCACCACTTTCATCCTGAATCTCTCCATCGCTGATTTTGGGGTCCTCACATCCCTCATTATGGCAGCAATCTTTCTGGTGGTGTTATCTCTGGATCAAAGAACATATATTGTCAAAACCTTTTTCTCCTTATTCTTTGAGCTCTTCTCCTTCACCTATTCTGCTAGCCAGTTTCTGCTGACGGCCATCAGCCTGGACAGGTGCGTGGCTGTCCTATTCCCTCTCTGGCATCGCTGCCATCATCCTCCATATTTGCCCACCCTTGTTTGTGGTTTTCTCTGGATCCTTTGCTTCCTGCTCTCTGTGGTGCACTTCATACTATATCAAACCGAGAGCTTTGGAGGCTCACGTTTTCTCTACCAGCTGATTGTGAATGGTTTACTTTGTACGCCTCTCATGGTTGTGTCTACTGTGACTCTCTGGATTCATATGAGGTCTAAATCGCAACGCAATCAAAGGAAGCTTCTCACCACTCTCTTGCTGGCTCTCATCTTCTTCCTCCTTTTTTCTCTCCCAATGGATGTCTTTTATGTCATTGAATATTTTGGTTCCTCTAATCCCCTCCTTATGACCATTGGAATAGGATGTGCAGCTATCAACAGCAGCATCAACCCACTTTTTTATTTCTTAGTGGGAAGAAAGAAGAGGGGAAAGGATCAGCCCAGAGCATCTTTGAAGCTTGCTTTGCAAAGAGTTTTCAAGGATGAGCAGGACAACTCAGAAAAGCCAAAAACTATGGAGGAAGACCAGTTGTGAAGACTCCCTATCATGGTGGATTCATTTTCTAATCCTTAAATAATATCTGGATTCCATGAGAACACATAACATTGATGGGTTTGCCCAACAAAATAGCTAATCAAAAAACCATGTAAACAGAGAAATACTGCTGTATATGTAATTTTCAAAGTGGAACATGACAATAAAATAAAATACATTAAAAATATGCATATACCAACATATATGACACAGAGAAACAACAAAGTCCAGTTCGGATGTATACATATACATGACAAAAAAAGAATCCATTCCTGGGGGAAGGTTACTTCAAAAATCCTATTCTCTCCCCGCCCCACTAACCTGCTTTCCAGCTCCGTTCTCCTATGCAGAGCAATAAAAGAAGATCCAGCCAATCAGCTGGGACTCAAGAGGCAGAGAATAGATGGGGGCGGGGCCAGTCAGAGGTGGTATTTGCCGGTTCTCTGAACTACTCAAAATTTCCACTACCAGTTCTCCAGAACTGGTCAGAACCTACTGAATACCACCTCTGCACCTAGCCCCCGAGGTCAAAGACAACCCTCACGCAGCTCTCAATGAAATCAAGTTTGATACCCCAGCCCTAGAGCTTTTAGACCAGACCATCTGTGCACTTGAGAATGAAACTGAGTTGCATTTTTATCAGCATTCCTAGCTATATTGAGAATACACAGACATCCACAAATTCCTCCAAAGCAGGGGTGTCAAACTCAAGGCCCGTGGGCTGTATCTGGCCCATGAGGTACATAGATCTGGCCCACGGGGCTGCCTTGGAAACAGCGAAGGACTTGCCCTTGGTGCCTCTGCCAGCGAAAATGAAGCTCGGGACGCCTATGCCTACTGCCCTTTGGCCATCCTGTTGTGTCCTCCTCCTGATCTTTCCTGGTGGTCTCCCACCCTATTGCTGAGGATGCTTTTGTTACAAAGCCAGGTCTCCTTGCATGGAGAGGGAGTGGGCCTTCCTCTGACCCACACACTTTGCCCTCCTGCACACACCATGACAACCTGGTCAAGGAGAGTGAGAACGGCAGCCTTGAAGAGGAGGTAAGTGCAGCTGGGGGCCCCTTGGGCTGTGCTGGATTGTGGAGTCCTGGTGCCCTGGGAGCTTGAGGGTTGGGTTGGGTGCTTGTGCTCTGCTGCCTAGGGCTCTCGACAGTCTGTACCACTGTCTGGGGGTCCTTCATGTGGCCTGAGAGGGACGGTGAGGATTCTCTGCAGGACAAGGGCTTGTCATTCTGCCTGGTCTCACCTTCCTCCACTGGAGGAAGCGATGTAGGAAGAAGAAGGAGCGATGTCAATATGGCCAAGACCACCCCAGCCATGCCCACTGGCCCCCCAAGGTCAAATACAACCCTGATGCAGCCCTCAATGAAATCGAGTTTGACATCCCTGATATAGATGGTGAAAGGAGTCCTCTTAATCTGGCAATGCAAAACTCGGGTGACAGTTCCATTCCCAATAATTCCTGGAATGCAAATTAAAAGGATTAAAGAATAGATGACATTTTTCCGATAGTCAGGCTGATAAATGTTGTCCTCTGAGGGAATGCCATCAGTGCCATTGAGTTTAGTATAATTGAATGTCAAATTTCCCATTTTAGCCTCTGTGACTCCAGAAAAGACAGTTATCACATTGGTTGTCGTCTTCTATGGAAATGAATCTTATTTTGTTTTGTTTTGTTTTTGCTTCTTGTTGAAGGATAATGGTGGTGTTATGACCCAGGCTTTGTAAAACGTAATTATGCACCAACTTATTTTAAAACAAAACTTATTTTGTTGCAACGCTGAGAATTTTCATTCCCATCCGGAATTAATCTCAAACAGTCCCCCAAGATAAGCACCCACCTTTCAGTTCTGTGAAGTGCTGCCAAAAACAGAAGTATCAAATGAACTAGAAAAGAAACCAACTGAAGTACAAAAAAAACCCAAAAAACCCGAAATACAAAGAATGACTCTGAACTGATCAAACTACTTTGCTTCCTGCAAAGGTTTCATCATCTTGGCCTGACTTTTATACCTTATGGGAGGGGCAATCACTTCCCAGCCTTACTCCTGAGTCGCCCTTTTGGTTTCAGCTGGTCTTGCCTTCTAGCAGTTCTGCGCACACACGGACTGGGAACAGGCTCCCCTGGGTCCTTTGCCTCACTGCTGCCAGACTCCGAAGGTTCTGGAGGCAGCACCCCACCCCCAGATGGTCCTGGCCCCATCTCTGCATCAGATGCAGGACCCTCATCTGACTCCTTTCCAGACTCCCTGACTGGTCCCCATTCTTTCCCCACTGTCTGACTCGGCTGCCATCTGCACTGGCAGCCAGTGAACCACAGCACTTGGATCCAGACAACTAAAGAACAAACCACTCACCCTTACTTTAGTCATAAAGTAAATGGCCATAAGTTGAGGACTACCTAA